CGCGTGCCCGAAAGAAGCAGATGGGACAGAGCGAGCATTCACGGACAGGACGCATCTGGCATATACGCAAGTGAAGAGCTTCTTCAAGAAGGGTTCGGCCCATCGCTCGGTGATGTGCCGAGCGTGCCACGAGCAAAGGCAGGTAGCAAAGAAGTTGGAATGCTCCGCATGCCCCCTTGAAAAAGGACGGATCTAAACCTGCATTCACGGGCGCCGGCCATCTGTCGGAAGACCAGACGAAGAATTATTTCCTCCGAGGCATTCTGGTGGTGTGCGCCAAGTGCTATAAGGCGGAACGGGTGCCTCGGAGAGAACCGCCGAAACGCCCTGCGGAGGCAAGTGGCGAGCACGGCGGGGAACAACGCAAGTTGCAGGGAATCTGACCGCGAGTCGCGCGCGCGCCGTCTTCGGGGCTCTCGTGGGCCGTCGTCGGCCCCTCTTGTCCAGTCTTGGCGGCCTCTTGGGCTGTTTAGAAGGCCCTCGCGGAGGATTCTTGGACGTCTTGGCGCGTTCTTTGGGGGCTCTGGGGCCGTCCAGGAGCGGGGGGCAGTCCAAAAGGCACACGTGTGAAAAAAATATAGGGTTTACGGAGGGAGCGGGCGATTTTATGCGTCTGGAGGCCCTCTTGTGGCGCATCTGGGATGCCTCTTGGGGCGGCTTGGAGGCCTCTTCAGCCGTGTGGAGGCCGTCGTCGATGCTTTTGATCGCTCTTGGACCGTCGGGGACCATGTGGAGCTCTCTTCGAGGCCACTCGGAGCGCTCCTGGAGCGCTCTTGGGGCCGTTTGCGGAGCCCTCCTGGGCCGTCTTGGGCGCCTGTTGGCCCGTCTTGGGGTCCTCTAGGGCAAGTGGGGGGCCCTCTTGGAAGCTTCTTGGGCCGCCTGGGAGCGGGTTTGGGGGCCTCTTCGGCCGTATGGGAGCATCGGAGAACCGAGAAGCAAAACTTATGGAAAATGGTACGTTTCACGAAGGGAATGGGCCAATTCGTGCGTCTAGGGGCCCTCTTGGAACGCATCTCGGAGGCCCTCGAGGGGCTCGTGGGGATCTTTTCTGTTGTGGAGGACGCCTCGTGGCCCGTCTTGGGGCCACCTTGAGACCATGTGGAGCTCTTGGGCCTCTCGGACCGCTCCTGGAGCGTTCTTGGGGCCGTTTTCGGAGCCCTCTGGGCCGTCTTGGACGCCTGTTAGCCCGTCTGGGGGCCCTCCAGGGGTATGTGGGGGACCCTCTGGGGGGCTTCTTGGACCGTCTGGGAGTGGGTTTGGGGGCCTTTTGGGCCATCGGATGCATCGGAAAGGCCCAAAGCCGAATTTGTGAAAAATGTACGTTTCACGAAGGGAATGGGCCAATTTTTGCGCTTCGGAACCCTCTTGGAACGCATCTCGGAGGCCCTCGGGGGGGCTCGTGGGGACCTCTTCTGCCGTCGAGGACGCCTCGTGGCCCGTCTTTGGGCCAGCTTGAGCGTCTTGGACCGCTCGTTGGGCGTCCCAGAACCATGTCGAGGCCACCACAGGAGTCCCTGCACGATTTCCACGAGTTGTTGCACGATTTTCGGGAGCGGATGACCCCTCTGCTCCCGTCCGGGGCCGTCCGGGTCATCCGGTTAGACCCCCCCCCCTCTCGAAATCGACCGGACCGGGCTCCCGGGGGAGGGGTTTGGGGAGGGGGAACATCTCACACGCCGATGAACCCCAAGGGGTCGGCGGACTTGTTCCTTAATTTCCCTGGGACTGACGACGACGATGACTCAAACGGAAAAGCGTCCCACACACGCCGAAGGGTCGGGGGATTCCGGGCTTTAGCCGTTTTGGCCCAAGACCTTCCAGCAAGAGCCTGACCTGCGAGCACTCCCAGCCATAGTGACCTGTTGCCAATGCCTTCGGCCACGGACCGCATGGAGCTCGCGGAGGTCGGCGGCGAGGCGAGTGGGTCGGAGCAGTTCTTGGTCCAGGACGCTCGCGCCCGGCGTTCGCCCTGGCGTGCGGCGGGTGGCGCAGGCGTGGCCGCCCTGCTCCTGGCCGGCGCAGGCGCGGGGGCAGCGCGTTTTGCGTTGCGCGGGGCGGCCTCGGACACGGACCGTCTCCAGAGCAAGGTGCAGACGGTGGCCTTGCCCCCGCGCGACAAGTGCGCCAGCACGGATGACGACTGCTACAGCTTGGGGTGTTGCAACGTTGCGGGCCTGAATTGTTTCGAGACCAAGCCTGGGAAGGGCAAGTGCCTGAAGAACTGTACTCCCAGCGCTTCCCAGCTGTGCGTTCAGACGCAGCCGATCATGGACCCGATCCTCAAGGATGCCGACTGGTACGGCCCGTCATTGTACTGCTTCGCAGTGGTCATGCAGGACATCGGCAGCACAAAGAAGATGTACGACTTGGAGCTCCTCCAGGGAGCATACGAGCAGGAGGACCAGCATCTTCGGGTGCGAGAACTGGGGTGTGTTCAGCGACAAGGAGGGCGAGGTCGGACCTGGCGCTCCGCTCGTGAAGCTGGAGGATGCCGACGGGGACTTCCACTTCGCGAAGAGAGAGGAGACCGGCACCTGGCTGAACACGGGCCTGCACTACCAGGCCTGGAAGGCAATTGGGGAAGCGGGCGTGTACAAGAGTGCCAGTTGGGTCGTGAAGCTCGATCCAGACGCGGTGTTCGTGCCGAGCCGCTTGGTGTCTTACCTCTCTAGCAAGTTGGTCCCGGCCACCGGCCTCTACCTCGAGAACTGCATAGGCGTGAAGTATGGGTGGTTCGGCAGCTTGGAGATTTTCTCGGCGGTGGCCTTCGAGACGCTCCTGGGGTCGATGGCCTCGTGCAAGGAAACCGTCGACTGGAAGACGGGCGTTGACGGAGGCAAGTACGGCCCTATGGGCGAGGATCTGTTTGCGCAGGTCTGTTTGGACACGAACGGTGTCTCCCGTGGAGAGGCATTCGGCTCCAAGCTGGACGGAACTTGCGAGGCGGACCGGCCAACCGCCGAGAAGAAGAACAAGAAGTGGAAGCCCACGTGCGACGGCGAGAACTTCCCGGCGTACCACCCGCTGATGAAGCCCGAAGACTATATGGCGTGCTTGGATGCTACCACCAAGGCGTTCGGCTACTGAGCGCCCCATGGGAGCCTGAGAAGCTGCGCTGCGCCAGGCAGAGGGCCCTACCTGTTAGGCCTGCCTCGCGCGCGCACAGCAATGTTTTGTTGTAATGCAATGGTTTTGGTCATGCAATGATTTTTCGCGCTGCCCTGATTTCTCCTCCCACACGAAGATGGTGATGAGTAAAGATGTGCCTGAGGCGGCATGCAGCCTGGCGCTGCTTAATTACGGGAGACCCCCTTCTTCGGCCTCGGTCGGCTGCGTGCCCATGGTTGCAGTCAGCTTCGAGCCGCATTCGTTCTCCCATGTTCATATCTGGGCGTTCACACGTTTTTCCTCTACCTTCGTACCGTCTTGCATCGATGCGGCGAGGACCACAAACATCATCCTGGCGAAGGACCCAGCCATACACAGGCCTGAATATCGCAAGGCAGGTGGGGTGAAGGTGAGGGGAGCCTCGTATGGGGCCACGGCAGGCATGAGGGGTGTGCCGCAATGCGGGCGGAACCGCATGCGAACTGTGCCACTGGGGCCTTCGGTGGTGCCTCCCATGGGGCCACGAAGTGCGTGAAGGGTGCATGGAAATGGTCGGGTGGGCCATGCGGCACCACCCCCCGTGGATCCCCCCCGTCCCCCCTTGGCAGGGAAGGGATCAGAGGGGAAGGACTTCCCTTCGACTTAGCTACGACGTTCTTCAAATGACTTGTTCCTTAATTTCCCTGGGACTGACGACGACGATGACTCAAACGGAAAAGCGTCCCACACACGCCGAAGGGTCGGGGGATTCTGGGCTCCAGCCGTTTTGGCTCGAGACCTTCCAGCAAGAGCCTGACCTGCGAGCACTCCCAGCCAGAGTAACCTGTTGCCAATGACCTCGGCCACGGACCGCATGGAGCTCGCGGAGGTCGGCGGCGAGGCGAGTGGGTCGGAGCAGTTCTTGGTCCATGACGCTCGCGCCCGGCGTTCGCCCTGGCGTGCGGCGGGTGGCGCAGGCGTGGCCGCCATGCTCCTGGCTGGCGCAGGCGCGGGGGCAGCGCGTTTTGCGTTGCGCGGGGCGGCCTCAGACACGGACCGCCTCCAGAGCAAGGTGCAGACGGTGGCCTTGCCCCCGCGCGACAAGTGCGCCAGCACGGATGACGACTGCTACAGCTTGGGATGTTGCAACGTTGCGGGCCTGAATTGTTTCGAGACCAAGCCTGGGAAGGGCAAGTGCCTGAAGAACTGTACTCCCAGCGCTTCCCAGCTGTGCGTTCAGACGCAGCCGATCATGGACCCGATCCTCAAGGATGCCGACTGGTACGGCCCGTCATTGTACTGCTTCGCAGTGGTCATGCAGGACATCGGCAGCACAAAGAAGATGTACGACTTGGAGCTCCTCCAGGGAGCATACGAGAGGAGGACCAGCATCTTCGGGTGCGAGAACTGGGGTGTGTTCAGCGACAAGGAGGGCGAGGTCGGACCTGGCGCTCCGCTCGTGAAGCTGGAGGATGCCGACGGGGACTTCCACTTCGCGAAGAGAGAGGAGACCGGCACCTGCTGAACACGCGTGCTATCACTATTTTTTTATCTATATATTAATGTATATCTACCAGGCCTGGAAGGCAATTGGGGAAGCGGGAGTTGTACAGAGCGCCATTTTGGGTCGTTAAGACTCGATCAGGACGCGGTGTTCGTGCCGAGCCGCTATGGTTGCTGTATTAACTCTCCTCTAGCACGTTGGTCCCGGCCACCGGCCTCTACCTCGAGAACTGCATAGGCGTGAAGTATGGGTGGTTCGGCAGCTTGGAGATTTTCTCGGCGGTGGCCTTCGAGACGCTCCTGGGGTCGATGGCCTCGTGCTAGGAAACCGTCGACTGGAAGACGGGCGTTGACGGATGCAAGTACGGGCCCTATCTTCACCCTTAACCGGCGAGGATCTGTTTGCGCAGGTTTGCTTGGATGCGAACGGTGTCTCCCGTGGAGAGGCATTCGGCACCAAGCTGGACGGAACTTGCGAGGCCGACCGGCCAACCGCCGAGAAAAAGAATAAGAAGTGGAAGCCCACGTGCGACGGCGAGAACTTCCCGGCGTACCACCCGCTGATGAAGCCCGAGGACTATATGGCGTGCTTGGATGCCACCACCAAGGCATTTGGCTACTGAGCGCCCCAGAAGAGACTGAAGCTGCGCTGCGCCAGGCAGAACGCTCCGCCCGTTGGGCCTGCTTCGTGCGCACCACGTGTGCTGTTTTGGTCGTGCAAGCATTTTCCGCGCTGCCCTGACCTCGCCTCCCCACAGAGGTGGTGATGAGGCGCGTCTGAGGCGGCAGTCAGCCTGGCGCTGCTTAATTACGGGAGACCCCCTTCTTCTGCCTCGGTCGACTGCACGCCCACGGCTGCAGTCGGCCCCGAGCCGCATTCGTTCTCCCATGTTCACATCTGGGCGTTCACACGTTTGTCCTCTGACTTTGGCAAGCGGGCCAGCGAGAGTGTCATCACCGTAATTATGCATTCCCCTGCCGTGGATCAGCACCTGCCTTTCCGCGGAGGCCTCTGCGGTGCTCTGAGCTCCCTGGATTTTTTTCCGACCTGCCTCGCTGCGGCGAGGACGACAAAGAGGACCATGCGCCCAGGAGGGCTCCCATGGGGGGGCGCAGTGACGGAGCAGTCCCAGCCAGCCTCCCACGCTCGTTGAGGCTCCCCGCCTCTTCCTGCCCTTCCTGCTTGCTGCCTGCCGTCTCTGCCCCCGGTCCCGCTTCTGGTCCCGCTCCCGCTCCCGCTCCTTCTCCTGCTCCCGCTCCTGCCCCTCGTGCGCGCCCTCCTGCCACGAACGGTGGAGTTGTGTGTGTGTGTGTGTGCAAAGTCAGAGCCTTAACTTAGTCATCAACCTCGCCCTTTTCTTGGTATGATCAACCGAAGAACTTCCTTTCTCTCCGCTTGTGCTCCTCGGTGCGCCGCTCGCGTTCCCCTCCCGCTTTTATCCTTCGCCCCCCCCTTTCTATCCTTAGCCACTCCCTGCCCCAATTCTCCGTCATTCTGTCGGCCCCAGAGGTGGCCCTCGAGGCTTTTGTAGCAGACCTCCCCTCCTCTGTTCCTCGTCGTCCCTCCCCTGCGTGACTGTCCAGACCGTTGCGGCACATGCACGAAAGCACACAAAACACATCTGTTCTGTCATGCTCTGCTCGGGCATGTTCTGTGATATGCTGGTGTCCTCTATTTTGTCATGATGTTGATATTTTATGTTCTGCAATGTTCTGTCATGCTCTTGCTCTGTTCTGTCATATTATCCGTAAGGGCTTCGCCCCCTGCCGCCGGCCCCCTCTCTCGGAGAATGGGCCATGGAAGAGCTAAGTCATGAGGCCTTGGCGCTGTCGTGAAGCAGTATCGAAACTTCATGCGAAGCCGATTCGCAATCAGCAAAACCAACTGATCACAAGAGGGGTTACCACACCTGGCGATTGGTAAGACGTGTATGGTTTACGGGCTTGGTTACCACACCTTGCGATTAAGGGCCGAGGGAGTTCTCGCAGTTTGGGTTACCACGCCTTGCGATGGATGTGCGCGAAGGGTGGCACCGAATTCAGAAATGTGCCAACTCTCCTGCGTTTTTGGACCCCTGACCCACGCGGAATCAGGCGTATAGGGGTGGGTTGGCGCGATTTCAGAAATGTGGCATATCCTGTTTTTTTTCCTGACCCCGCGGATCTGCGTGGGTGGTGGCACCGAATTTGTGGCACATCCCTTGTGTTTTTGGACCCTGACCCCGCGGATCTGCGTGAGGGGTGGCACCGAATTTCAGAAATGTGGCAAATCCCTTATGTTTTTGGACCCTGACCCCGCGGATCTGCGTGAGGGGTGGCACCGAATTTTAGAAATGTGGCACATCCCCTGTGTTTTTGGACCCTGACCCCGCGGATCTGCGTGAGGGGTGGCACCGAATTTGGACCCTGACCCCGCGGATCTGCGTGAGGGGTGGCACCGAATTTCAGAAATGTGGCAAATCCCTTGTGTTTTTGGACCCTGACCCCGCGGATCTGCGTGAGGGGTGTCGATTTCGAGCCCCCCCAGCAATTCAGACAACGCGCCCAGGAGGTGCTAAATATATGGTTTGGGCCTCCCCCCCCCCTCGCGCGGTCAATCAACTAGTTACAGTAACCAGCAAGAAGCAGAACTGTAACACTGGAAACTACAAGCTACAACTGGTACAGGAAACTGCGAATCCCGCGCCTACAGCCTGGTGGCCCCACAAGGGGGCCGGCGGATGTCGTGCCATACTGTGTTCCTGTTCGTTGTTTGTCGAGGGCGCGAGGCGGGATAACCGGGGACGCTCGGGGCAACTTGGGGTCTTGTTGTTTTTAATACAGTTTATTTTTTTTTAGTTGGGGTATCTTTATTCTGGTGTTTCCTGGTGTTTGGCTAATTTTAGGTTCTTTTTTAATGGCGGCCGCGGTATGCAGGGTGTGTTCTGTCGTGTTTGTCGAGGGCGCGAGGTGGGATAACGGGGACACTCGGGGCAACTTGGGGTCTGGCGGCCGCGGTATGCAGGGTGTGTTTTGTCGTGTTTGTCGAGGGCGCGAGGCGGGATAACGGGGACACTCGGGACAATTTGGGGTCTGGCGGCCGCGGTATGCAGGGTGGGAGTGGCCGGGAGGTCTGTTTTTCAAATCTAGGAAAGAGCGTGTTCTACCGCTGCTGGCGGAAAACCGGGGGGGGTCACTACCGGTTCGAACCCCTCCCCCCCCCCCCTCTCGGGAAAACCGGGGGGGTCACTACCGGTTCGAACCCCTCCCCCCTCTCCCCAGCTCATCATGAAAAGGGGGGGGGGGTCACTACCAGTTCGAACCCCCCCCCCCCCCTCGAAAACCGAGTGGGGGTGCGGACAGAGGTGGGGACGGTGTTGGTGGGACAGTGGTGAGGGGACAGCGGGACAGTGGTGGGGACAGTGGGACAGTGGGACAGTAGAGGGCCAGTAGTGGTGGGGACAGTGGTGAGGACAATGGTGGGAACAGGGGGGACAGTGGACAGTGGTGGGGACGGTGGTGGTGGGGACAGTGGTGTGGGCACAGTGGAAATGAGGTGGAAACAGTGGGACAGTGGAGGGTACAATGGTGGTGGGGACAGTGGTGAAGGCGGTGGCGAGGACGGCGGTGGGACAATGGGACAGAGGTTCAGTGGGGACAGTGGTGGGGACAGTGGGGACAGTGGTGGGAACAGTGGGACAGCTCAGTGGGACAGCGGCGGAGTCAGTGGGACAGTGGGGACGGTGGGGATAGTCGGGCAGTGGTTGGGGCCGTGGAGACAGTGGGGAGAGTGGAACCGTGGTGGGAACAGTGGTGGGGACAGTGGGGACAGTGCGACAGTGGTGGGGGCACTGGTGGGGACACAGTGGGGACAGTGGTGGTGAGGACAGTGGTGCTGGGAACAACAGTGGAGGATGTGACGCGGACGGTGGTAGGGACCGGGAGTCGTTTGCTGGCGGTGAGTGGGGGTGTGGGGAGGGGTTCGAACCGGCGGTAGTGATCCCCCTCCGGTTTTCGACCCCCGAGTTTTCGAGGGTGTGTGGGGGGGTTCGAACGGTTAGTGACCCACCCCCCCGGTTTTTTCCGGATCCGGAGGGGGGGGGGAGGGGTTCGAACCGGTAGTGACCCCCCCCGGTTTTCGAGGAGGAGGGGGGATGGGGGGGAGGGGTTAGGGCGGGGGGGGGGGTTGCCGGGGGACGGGGGGGGGTCCAGCAGGGGGGAGATTTTCGGAAGGGGGGGGGGCGACCCCCGGGCTCCGGAGGAAAAGGTTGGCAATTTTCCACAGTAAAGCGGCGGTGGATCACGCTCTCTCAAATCTAGCGACCCCAACCTGTCCGGTGGGGAACAGGCCAGAAAACACAAACAGACACAAACGCACACAAACAGATACCGGACGGAACATAGAAAAAACAAAAAAAACACAAAACCACACACACGCACACAAACATGACTAAATTATGGCTCTGACTCTACACCCCTAAGTGGAGAGGCCTGGCCGTAGCCGTTTTTGGCTCGAGGCTCTGCGGCAGTCAGCCTGCCCTTCGAGCGCTCCCAGCCATAGTGACCTGCCGTCAATGACCTCGGCCACGGACCGCATGGAGCTCGCGGAGGTCGGCGGCGAGGCGAGCGGGTCGGAGCAGTTCCTGGTCCAGGACGCTCGCGCCAGGCGCTCGCTCTGGCTCGCGGCGGGCGGCGCGGGCGTGGCCGCCCTGCTCCTGGCCGGCGCAGGCGCGGGGGCAGCGCGCTTTGCGCTGCGCGGGGCGGCCTCGGACACGGACCGCCTCCAGAGCAAGGCGCAGACGGTGGCCATGCCCCCGCGCGACCAGTGCGCCAGCACGGACGACGACTGCTACAGCCTGGGGTGTTGCAACGTTGCGGGCCTGAACTGCTTCGAGACCAAGCCGGGGAAGGGCAAGTGCCTGAAGAATTGCACCCCCAGCGCCTCCCAGCTGTGCGTTCAGACGCAGCCCATCATGGACCCGATCCTCAAGGATGCCGACTGGTACGGCCCGTCATTGTACTGCTTCGCAGTGGTCATGCAGGACATCGGCAGCACAAAGAAGATGTACGACTTGGAGCTACTCCAGGGGGCATACGAGAGGAGGACGAGCATCTTCGCGTGCGAGAACTGGGGGGTATTCAGCGACAAGGAGGGCGAGGTCGGGCCCGGCGCTCCGCTCGTGAAGCTGGAGGATGCCGACGGGGACTTCCATTTCGCGAAGAGAGAGGAGACCGGCACCTGGCTGAATACGGGCTTGCACGCACTACCAGGCCTGGAAGGCAATCGGGGAGGCGGGCGTGTACAAGAGCGCCAGCTGGGTCGTGAAGCTCGATCCAGACGCGGTGTTCGTGGCGAGCCGCTTGGTGTCTTACCTCTCTAGCAAGTTGGTCCCAGCCACTGGCCTTTACCTTGAGAACTGCAAGGGCGTGAAGTATCCAGTTGCCTGCGGCGAACCCCGCCACCGTGCCAGCGCAGCAGCGCAGTGTGAAGGAGGTTGAGTTGAATGCCCGCGCCAGTTCAGCACGCGGTCTGAACTCGCACGGGTCTTAAACGCGTCCTCGTTCCCTCAGTGTTGTGGCCGTCTTGAGGTGTTCTGCGGCAGCGATGGGGCCATCAGGTTTTGGGGCCCGTCGGGCCGTCTTCGGGCGGTGTTAGGGTGAGTTTGCGACCCGCGCCAGTGCAGCGCGCGGCCTCAATTCCTGTGGATCTTAAACTCGACTTTGTCCCCTCGGTCTTGGGGCCGTCTTGGGCCGCTTTGGAGGGTTCTCAGGCAGTCTTGGGGCCATCTGGGGGCCCTCTTGGGTTCAAGTAGTTTAGGGCCGTCATGGGGGCATCCCGGGGCTCTCTGAAGCTTTCCCGAGGCGATCTTAAGCCGAACGGCCTCGGGGATCCCAACACATTGTTTTCGTGACTGTTTTTCAATATGTTTCTGTTGTGAAAGCCTCGCCGGATGACTCTTTGGGCGTCTCTTGGAGCTTTCTTGGAGCCTCTGGGGGAGATTTTGTAGTCTTCGAGGGCTCGTTGGGCCGTCTTCTGAGAGTCTCAGGGTGAGTTTCCGACCTGCGCCAATGCAGCGCGCGGTCTGACCCGTGAGTCTTAAACTCGACCTCGTTCCCTCGGTTTTGGGGTCGCCTTGGAGGGTTCTTGGGTGGGGCGTTCTGGGGGCTCTTATTGGACAGTTTTGG